TTAGTACACCACAACCAATTGAAACAAAACTACGCAGTAGTCTCTCGCCAAAGCTTCTAAAGACAACGATAGAATTTCATAAATTGAAACCATATACTGCAGAAAACGATTGAGATGATATTGAAACAAATTTTTGTGTTCATTCATGATGGGCAGATGCTCGCAATATCAAGATATTTATAAACAAAATTCATGATGAAAAGTATACAACATATCACACGACTTTTAAAAAGAAAATAAGTTTTAAAGCTATTGATGTATACAATTTGTTTTTAGTCTAATAGAAATATATCCGTTTTCTATTTATCTGTTCATCATTGATGACGGGTATATTAAAATTTCCAGCTGAGAACATACGTTTCTGAAAAAAACTAATGGATGAATAGTTTCTCAGCAGCCTTAGAAGGTTTGCTCCCCGAACTTTTCTCTTCTAAGCTGAATCAAACGAAAATTATGAACATATATGAATAAACTCATTGAGTATTACTTGATGTGACTCAATCAGCGCAGAGAGAGTGAGATAATTCAATTCAAGTCGTTCATGTTCTCAGTTTTGTGCATACTGTTTTGTAGAATTTCTTAGGAAATCTTTTTTTTCGAAACATGAATTCGAATTCTTTAAGTCACATTAATGAAAAAAGAATATATTTCTATTTCTTATCTCTATCTAAATTTAAAAAAAATTATTTATTAAATTCAACGTTAGTTTAAATTTTCTGAGTTACAACACTGGAAATACTATTATTGCACTGAAATGAAAATAAACGAGTTGGTAATGAATTAATACGAGATATAACAGATACAGAACGATCTACAGTAATTGTATTTTCATCCTAGAAAAAATAAAAGTATTACAAAAAAAAAAAGATAAATTCATTAACACACTTCATCTTCATTCATATCATTAATTGTCGGAAGACGAGGACCAATATTTTCTTGTTGAGCAAGATTAACTGCAGTTGAGTAACGTCTTGAAGGAGGTTTAGAGATTGAAAAAATAATTGATTTAGGTGGCTGTGGTTTTACTATACCTAATTCTCTAATAAGTGCTGATGATGGTCTTCGTTGATCAAGTGTTTGTATTGATGGTGACACAACAGGTGTTACTTGTGTATGTTGTTTTTCAACTTCATGAACTGTTTCAGGTAATTTACATGGTGAATGTATATGTGGTAATTGAGATGCGGCCAACGCAGCTAAGCATGAAGCTAATGAATAGATCGTGTATGGTAATGGAAACCAAACAGAATATTGAGTAACTGATAGTTGTGGTCCAATCATTGCAACAAGACGTGCTATACACGCTGATAGACCAACCCCTGTTGAACGAAGAGCTGTTGGATATGTTTCAGTTGTATAGACAACAATTAACAATTGACATGAGGATGCTGTTAATTTACCAAGTAAAGCAAAAGAAATACTTACTAAAAGAAAAATTAAATTAGATACATTGAATTAATTATATAAAATATTACCATATGGTTGTTTATCATATGTGACGGGGACAAGTCCTAGAGCAAGAGCAGTTGCAATAAAAAATACAATAAGAAGACGACGTCGTTCAACAAGCGATGCAAGTGCATGACATACACTAAGACCAATCATTTCACAAATAGCGCCCGCTATAAATAATTCATGAGGTTGATTTGTAAGTGCAGGTAATGCACTACTGATACCTTTACAAAAATTCAATAAAGTATTTTTTGTGATGGTTTTTTTTTTTTGATAGTATCTTATAAACAATTAATTATTTAAAAACAAGAAAATCTATTGGAATAAATAATCGTCGATGATCTAGAAAAGGCAATTTTATTATTGTGACATTAAAATTTAAAACTCGCTCAAATTTGTCAACTACTATAGACTATCAAATAGGAACACAGTGTTATAGAGTTCTTTCTTTGTTTGCTGGGAAACTAACGTGAAAACATCTCCAAGTTTCAAATTTCTTTTTTATCGACATGATGTTCATTTTATCAGTAATCGAAAAAGTCTAGAATGGTGTGATTTTTCAAGTCTTTGTTCTCAAGATATCGAAATTTTACTAGGTTTTTCGTCTCTCTCAGATCAAGTGGAAAGTCAACGTTCGAATGGTGACTTTAAACTTTCTGCAAACTAAATTTCTAATGAAATTTGTTCATTGGACAAGTCTAAGCTTTGACAGCATTTCCTTTCTGGAGATGTACATATATGAACAAAATTTGCTTTTATACATGAGAGAATATCGAATATCTCAAAACCCAATCAGACAACATCCGTAAAGAAATACATTAAAAAGGGTAGAAGTTTTCTAGATTTATAAGCTTTTAACAGTTTTTAGTGCAAACTTCACGATTTTTATTGCGTTCAAGCCTTACATGCGTATTAACGCGAAAACATCTGCTAAGAAACCATAGTGTTATGTGTATGTTTCGGAACAGATTTTATTATGTTTGACAGTCATTCGTTATCTCTCGTTTTACTAAGTAGCTTAACGTGTTTCACTAAATTCATCTCTTGAGATTAGTTTGACCGCAGAATCTTTCGTTGGTGTTATTGACGGGCAAGTTTTCATAGAATCAATCAAGTTATTGGTTTTTCTTGTTGGCATGAATAAGTGACGCAAGCTGAGGAAAACTATGTATGATCCAAATGTGATAAAGAATAAATCTAGAATATTGCATATTAATATTTAGTATTGTTAAAAGAGAAAAACCAGCTTAACAAAAATACAAAACAAAAAGTAGCTATACGCATAAAAAGCTTCGTAAATTAAAAAAAATAGTATTTGATTGAATACGAACTATTGAAGCATAACGACTTATTTGTTTTCTCTATTACATCGCTTTTCTATTCATTGAAATAATAATAATAATAAAATATTTATGGTTCTAAAAACGTCTGTATATTTCAATCTGATGAGATAAATATATTGGTTACACATCAAAACCGAAAATATCTCATTTCTTTCTCTATTTCTATTCTATAACTGATTCCGTATATTCTTCATCAGATGATATTTTCAACCAATCACCTACATCGTAGTCTTTTTCTTGTGTAATGAGTCAGTCATACGAGAGTTGTATAATATATTCATAAAAACATTTTCTACTTAGACAAACAAAGAAAAATATAAATTCATTAGGATGATACTAAAATTAAGAAATTAGTTTTGATGAGTTTTATTCATCTGATCTATGTTGAAAGTGTTCTTAATTTTCATGAAACGTCATCTCTCTAGAATAATACAGTGCTTAGAATATTCTGATTCTAAATCAATTTTGATTATTATGACATAATTATTTTGAGGAATCATTTCAAGTTCGCATAGACTTAGTTTGGTGAAAGAATAGTTCAAATAACTTCTTTCACTAAACTAAATATATCGATAGGATTATTTTCTGTAACAATTTTCTCAGTTCTGAAATCAATTGCATTAAGTCTCTTGAATGAATATATATATAGATTCGTTCGGAAACTTTAAGTCATTATGGATAGATAAAAATGTATGGTTTTCGCGATTTTATTTTTGTGAAAACATCAACAGCTTTCTTACTCGTTTTTTTCTTCGTTGTTTGTCTGACTACGAATGCGAAGTGCTAGAAAAGTTACAACTTGTCGAATGAACAAATCTCATTGAGAAATTTGTTCATGCAAAGTTTGAAGTCGAAAATCGATTTTCCACGTAATTTGAGAGAGATGAAAATCACTATAAAATTTCGATAAAAGCAATTTAACTCTTAGAGAAGTTCTCTGTAAGACACACTAAAAATATCACCTGCAATTTATTGTTGAGAATTTTTTTTAATTTCTATCTAGTATTATCTATTTAACGTTCAAATACTTCAAATCTATTGTAATATTATGGACATCATAAAGTTTTTTGAAGAGAAAAAAAACAATTCAATTTGTTCTATTATTGCAACATACCTAAATAAACAGAAACAGCCACTGCCCAAACAGCAATAAGAAGTAAACATCTTTTTTTCATTAATTTCGATTGACAAAGTCGTTTTAATACATTTAAATAAGTTGGAATATTTTGTTTAGCTTCTCTAGCAGCAATAACATCAGTTGGTAAACGCGAATAAAATAATTCTAATCGATCATGTAATGGTCGACGATTTATTAAATATATTCTTTCAAATATTTTTCTTGCTTCCATAACACGACCTTGTTGTACAAGCCATCGTGGTGATTCAGGTATAAGTATATAAATAAAAAGAAATGGTAAAACATATATATTTAATGTCCAATATGTTAATTTATAATCTTTTAATCGTTTTGATATAATAGCTAATACAATTTGACCTAATGCAAATGAATATGCAAGTGTATTAGCAGCTAAAACTCGTCGACTTGGTCCAGTTATTTCTAAAAGTAGAACAAGTGAAACAGAATGAAATGTTATTGCAAATCCTTGAAAAAATCGACATATTGTAAAAATAAGAAGTTTATGTGATGGTGAATATAAAAATAATTGCATTGTATTTAATGCAATAATTAATATAATAACAAGTAAATAAATTGTTTTTCGACGACCCCATCTATCAGCTAGAAGACCTGTTAATATTGATCCTGCTACACCAGCTGAATAAATATTTTGTGTTAATGCTCGTAAATGAATTTTATCACAAACAAGTAAAAGTTCTGTTGTCAATGTTATACCGTATTTATTCATATCAAAAATCCAACCTTGATCACAAGGTTTATATGTTAATGAAGATATATTATTAAACATTGTACATTTTTTATCATATTCAGTAGCTGTCATATATAAACTATTAAGAAATTTTTTATAAATTTCAGGTGGTTTATCATATGTATCATTAGAAGATAAACGACAACGATGATCTGGTATACCAAGATTAAGATCATAAGAAAAACTAACCATTGATGGAACAACAGAAAGAAGACCAATTATAAGAAAAACAAATATTTGATAGATACCAAATGACCCTATAAAATGTAATAAACATGAAGAAATTTTATTTATTTATTTATTTTTTTTATTAAATCATATGCCTGCATCAGATAATAATCGTTCAACAGTTTTTGTTATAACTGGTGTAGGTTTAGCTGGATCATATGCAGCAAAATAAGGAGTAATTGAAAAACGTGGTGTAGTCAAAGTAGACATTTTTTAGTATATTTTTATCTTTTTTTCTTTTGTGGAGATTTGAGCTGTTTATACCTCATACGTAGTCTTTGCACGATTTTTTATGTTCGTTGTATATGCATAAAGAGTTAAATCGAGGTCTCATACTTTTTTCTTTCGAAATAACGAAAGAAAGAAAGAGAGAGAGAGAAAGAAAGATAGATAGACCTAGATAGATATTCTTTCTTGTTCTCTCTATATGAATTGCGGACAAATTCATGTATATGGTCACTTTCATTTTATCTAACCATCAAGTGAATTGTACGCATAATGACGATGCAAAATAAAATATGTTTGCTATTTGTGGTACTTCTTCTGATCGTTGTATATGCAAAATCCGAAGATTCAAATGATCGTACAGGTAAATACGATTAGAAAAACATATATAATAGAGATTCTAAAGATTATTGATATTAATAAATAATTTTTTTTTTATTTTATTTAATTTGTTATTTTCAAAATAAATTAATACTTCGAAAATTGAATATTTATTAAAATATACATTTTGTTTTTAAAGGTACTTCTACAGCGAGTCGTAAAACTCAAGCTGATGATAGTAATAAGGATAAAGATGAAGAAAATGAAGATAATTCTTCACGATTATCACCAAATCGTCGTAATCGATATTCTTCATATGGGTCATCACCAACAAATTATCGAGGTCGAATACGTCGGCCATCATCATATGAAGATTTAAATTCAAATGATTGGTCTACAGTTGATTATAGACTTGGGTAAATTAAACAAATATTTATTTTTTTTTTTCATCACTTTTATTTTTCTTTTATTATTTTTAGTAATCCATTATTAAATTATCCTGGATCATTACCACCTGTTAGTGGTCCTATTGACCATAGTCTCTATTCAAATAATGAACCAACTTGTTATCGATTACTTGATCCACAATATCCATTATTTTCGGATCTTTGCGGTGCTGTACCACAAGCTCGATATTCTTTACCAAATTCATTTGGTCATTTTGAACGATGGCAAATAACACAAGTTTTAAATACTATGCTTGGTACATCGACACCAACATCAACAAATCCAACATGTGCTCGTTCATTACGTCTTTTAATATGTCCATTACTTTTTCCACCATGTCCATCACGACATGAACCTCCACCAGTTGTTCCTTGTCAACCATTTTGTCGAGGTTTGTTCAAAAGATGAAATGTTTTGAATTATTAAATGTAAGTTTCTATTTAGCTGTTAAAAGTCAATGTTCAGCACCTTCACTTGATCTTCTACCTTGTGATTTTCTTCCACCTACATCTGATCTTTGTCCAGGTATATTTCTCTATTTGGATTATTTATTTATTTATTTTTTTTTGTTTTGTACATTCAATTTCAATTCTTTTTTCTTTTTTTTCATCTTTTAGTTAATCCAGCACCGTATAGTTCACTTCTCTCGTCATATTCCCAACCATGTTAGTTTTTTATGATTGTTTCTATTCTTAAATACATTGATTTCTCTTCTAGTGTCATTAGCCGGTGGCGCAATACCATCAACAATGCCACAATCTCCACTTTCAGCTTATTTAGCACAATCAGCTCTTCAATTAGCATTATCACAACCAACTTATGCATCACAAATGTCACCATCAGGTGTACCACAAACTGCCGTACCTTCAGTATTACCACAATCAAGTGTACCAGCAGTTGGTTTCCCTTCAATGGTACCATCAGCATTTATAAATCCAACAGCAAGAACATCGTTAGTAGCTCCATTTCCTTTTTATCAACAGTTCAATACACAACGACAAATGGCTGATACAATAACTCCAGTCTTAGTTAATTTTCCACCTCTTCAATATGCAGCTTATAATGGACAAGTACCACGATTTTTTCCAGCATTACGTTCAGGAACAACACAAGCAGCTTAATTTTATTATTTGATTTTTTATTTTCTCTTTTTTTTTTCTTATGTCAGTTTTATTCTTTATATTTTTCAAAATAAGAAAAGAACATAAACAGTGATTGGTTGTTTCAGTCATAAATACTGTTTTAATTTTTTTTTTGTCTTTTAACTAAGAAAGAAAATAAGAATCACATAGATAGGAATGAGAAATTCAACAGATGAATAAACGAAAATGGCGTGATATTCATCATGATTCGGTCTTTTATATAATACGAGTCTATTAGTAAGAAAAATCAATTGATCGAGTAAATAGGATAAGAAAAGCAAAGCACAAAAAATGTTCAAATTAATTGCTATCATAGCTCTTCTTGGTAAGTATATGATTATTTAAAATTAGATATTAATACCTATGAAAAAAAATATTATTATAGTGATTGGATCCTATGCAAAGAAAATTTCTGTATCATCAAATGGTGCCTATGTTGCTCGATGCTTTATTGATATAAAAGATCATTCAAGTACATTTACATTAGCTAGTGGAAATATTTATGCTGGTCAAAAATTTGATATGGAACTTCCTGAAGATATTCAATGGATGAAAATTCGTTGTGAAAATCAACGCCTTATTGGTAAATGGGGTGACGTTTTTTCACAAGAATTAAGTGGTCCACGACCTCTCTGTTATAAAGTTGGTGGTACTACATTCCATCCAACTTATTCAGCTACGATTTGTTAACTGAAAGAATTCAAATAAATGATTTTTCTTTGCTTTTAATACTAAATCAAGAGTATTAGAATAAGTTCTACTTTTTTTTTTTTGGTTTAGATTTTATTTATGAAAATACATCTTTTCTTTTTTACATGCTGTAGAGTTTGATACAATCTTGAACTTCTTCAAGATTGTATCAGATATTTCTATTGACCAAAAGTTTTGAGATAGACCGAAATAGTTCTTCCTATTTTTGATAGAAATTTCCATTCTTTCTTTTAAATACACAATCTGTTATGAATCGAGAATCCATTGGATCCAACGAACTCTAGTAGTGAAGATATCTATTGTTCATCATCTCTTATTCTCTTCTTAGTACTGTAACACAATACTTTTATAATTTAATTGTTTTTTTTTGGATGCATATGGTTTATGACATATCGTTAAAGTTTTAGGTGAACTAAATTAGAGATACAAAATAAAGGATATTCATTAGAAGAAATAAAACTTTTAAGTTAATAACAATTAAAAAAAAAAATCTTTGATTCGTTTAAAAGTATATTTAATGATATTTATATAATTTATCTAAAGAAAATATTATTAGCAAATATTTTAATATATTGATTGTTTTGAAAAACATGTAATATTAGATAGATTATTGAAAAATAATTTTCATTTAACATAGAATGAGTTCGAATCTATTCATTGGTATGAGACATTTTGAGAGATGTGGTTTTATTAGAATGAGTATGGTTGGTTTCAATTGAAATAAACAATGAAGTTTTGTGAAACAGAAAAGTCTGTGGTGAGTGAAGTAGAGACTGCTCGTACGAAAATCATATTGACAATGCTTAAGCACTGGTCATTAAAAATAGGAATGCTAAAATTTTCATATTTTCATTGCATTATTTATATATGAAACAGTATTATCTTTGTACGAAAAACTGACAGTCGCTTTTGCAAGATATACAAAGCTCAATGCTCTTGTTTCAAAATTCAATCTCTTATTCATAGTAATAATTTAGTATAATAATAAATATAAACTGTAAGACTTCATCAATAAAGATTAATTTGTTATTTGATATATGATTGAAAACCAGATAATGAGACGTATATATTGTGATAAATCTTTCTTACGCTTCAACTAACATATTCTCTGGTGCACTAGGATCATCATTGAAAAATAAACAACGAAGATTACGTGAGTTACTTCACAAATCAAAGAATCATACAACTTTTCAATCGGTAACAACAATGCTCATTTCTCAAGCTATCTATAAAAGGTTTTATTTAGACAAGTCATAATGCCATTAAAATATTGATTATCTATTCATGAAACATGATTACATCAATAGGAATTATGTTGATATGTATGAAAAGATATCATCATATTTTTCTTCTATATATAATTTGTCATTGAAAAATAAATGACGATGTTTGTAGGAGTTTTGATTTATGTTGATTCAAGTAAGTTTCTATTTTCTGTTGAATTCTTAGAAAGCATTTGAAAGCTTTCTGTATTTAATAATCGTTTAACAAAATTATTACACTTTATGTTTGTAATAATTTATCATCATGGAGTTTTAGGGAGAGAATTTTTTTTTTAATGTTTCGTTATTTGGCTTTTTAAGTGCGTTTATTGATTTTAAAATGTTTACAAGATTAATGATATTCATGACAAATATTAGTTCAGATAGAAAAAAAAGGAATATAATAGAAAAGAGAACATGATAGTCATGGATGGTTAGAAGTTGAGGACAAAATGATAAATGGTCGAGGTCTTAACATGATGTATGCCAACTAAAGAAGAAACTATTATTTCACGCCTTCTCTCTATGATATCGTTGTACGTAACCAATACCTTGATTTATATATATACATATTGGATTCCAATGCATAAATAGAAAGGAAAGAAAAAAAAATTTTTTTTTTGCCCTCGACGATATTATTCTGCTTGAAATGAACATTACTCGTATAGATCAACAAGTTGTTCACTGATAATAAATCTTCAATTAGTTCATTTGGAAGCTTTTCAAAAGAGAAATACATTTACAAACAAATATCTATTAGTTTGAAAGTTGTCATCACCGACAAAAAATTTGTTTGATTGTAACTATCTATCTATTATGAATTCTTTCATCGAAATCGACAACTAGAAGATAGTAAATAAGTTGCCCGTACAATTTTTGTTTCTAGCAATAAACGATTATAGAAAGTGCTTACTACTGAAATTTAAATAATGTATTAGAGAATTCAAATCAAACGAGAAGAAAACTAGTGTCAAAATAAATATATATATATTACTAATAAAAGCTTTTACAGCGTTATCTATAATAAAAAATTGATTTCATAATTAAAACCAATTTAGATTCTATGATCAGTACGGGCAGCTCAGATACATCAACATTTTAAAAATGTATCGAAATTGACTCATTTCTGTTAGTTTCAAAAGACTTCAATTACACTCGTTCATTTTGATGCAATACATCATAATAGAACATTAAAAAAAAGCTGGTTGTAGTTTTTTGATAGTTATCACATGAGTATATTGTTCTGCTGATCATATGACTCAATGAAAGCGTTATAATACTAATCAATGCCATTCCACATATAATAACATAAGATTCACTAGCTGAAATATATTTTAGCTTATTTGTAGAACGTTATTATTACCAATATTCGATATTAATCGAATATTAAGATGAAGCGCATTCTTGAGAGTTTAGATATATTCAAAAAGAACAATTTGACCAAACAAATGAAATTAAATTCATTCAATGATAAACCATTAAAGTCGAGCCAATAGCATATTGATTGTGAAAATCGATTGACCATTGAGAAGTATGATGTATTCAAAAAATAGCAATCAGAAAATTTCACATCATACTCAAGAAATTTATATTTAATTTCATTCTTTAATGACATGAATCGTTTCTTTTAAAATGGGTCTCATTTATTGAAACTAATTAAAATCACAAAAAAAGCATAAAGGAATTTCATTACTTTTTTTAATCAATAATTGTCACGCTTCCCTTCTTCATGTGACTTTGTGTATTTTTTCTTTTCTGTACTCTCTTAATATCCATATTCGCATGAGTCAATGCTCGGCGTTTCGATGTAAGTAGGATATCATAAAACGTTTTCCATTAATGAGGTAGTTTCTGACTTACATGTCTTCACTCTTTTTTCTATCATGAAACCACTTCCGAATGTTACATCTAATAGCATGATAAAAAAAAAGAATTATTGTGGAGTAATAAAACGATTAAAGCATAAATTTCGCTTCACTAACACAGCTGTTCGAAGAAAAACTAAATAAATCTGAAGTATTTCATTTAATAAACTTATTGATTATTGAAAGAAATCCAAAGAATATTTTAATAAAATCAAGATTTATCAATATCTACAAATAGATGATTCATTACCGTATCTTATTGAGTGTCGAAAAAAATATCAACTAGATTTAAAAATGACTAGATGAATAACTTAAAAACAATATAAACAATTATGTATTAATTCATCTGAAGTTGAGTTAGCTCATACATATAATTTATCAAAAAGCACATAAAGCTGGCATTTCACTACGTTCTTTTATTTACAGTTTGAAAAATCTGCCAACAAAAAAATTTTTCAATTTTTCAATAATTCACTATAATATTTATTTCACAAGATGGCTTCAAATTAGTGAAACAGTTGCAAGAATAGTCCAAGCTTAACATGCATGAAGAAACTTTATCATAAACTATAAATGTTATATTCATTATTTACAAAAAAATAGTGCATAATTGTCCTCTTTATCGTGTATTTAAAACTGAACACAAAACAATAATTATTTCAATATTAAAATCAATTATTGTTGACTTGGCAAATTTATAGAATTAGAAAAATGAATAGTGTGAACTTATATCAACTAGATCAACTAAAAGAAAATCTTTCTCGTAAGTTAGAATCATTCTTTCGTTTTATGGGACTTTTTATAGATTGAAAGCACAGGAATTAGCAGGTAAAGCAGGGTTAAAATCATGAAAAAACATCATAGATGAATGTCCTTTAAGGCTATAACTTCATCATATTCATTTCTGTCATCATTAATAACACATTGCCCACCATCCACTCTTACAATATCCATCACCAAATCCATGGCTTCGACAACATGTTGGAACATGACCATTAGTTCGACATGGTGTATTGCAAACAGGATAATAACGTGCAGCCGTAATTAATCCAATAACTAGAATCAGATTTAAAAAAAAAAGAAGGATTATTGATATATTTTGAATGAATTATCTGTTATTCTTGTTTGTTTTTAAAAAAAAGATCAATTACCCATAGTTAATAAAAGTACTACGAAGAACAAACGTTGCATGATGAGTGCCATTGTCGTTTATAAGATGATACGGTTACTTTTACTAAAAGTTGTATGTCGATATTAAATCTTCGTAGAATAATTCATACAAGTAATAACTGATGTTTATATACATAAAATATGGCAATGCAATTGGGAAAACTCCCAGCATTATACGAGCTTCTTTTCTTAATTGTTATATCACTCCTCGATGGTAATTTCTCATTCTACTTTTATCCTTTTTAAATATTTTGTTTTCGTATTCTCACAGTAATTCAAATGATATCAAATAACGTTGAGTGACAAAGCATGACATCCAGGCAAGATAAGAATAGAATAAGAAATTCCCATCGAGGAGTGATATGACAATTAAGAAAAGAAGCTCGTATAATGCTGGGAGTTTTCCCAATTGCATTGCCATATTTTATGTATATAAACATCAGTTATTACTTGTATGAATTATTCTACGAAGATTTAATATCGACATACAACTTTTAGTAAAAGTAACCGTATCATCTTATAAACGACAATGGCACTCATCATGCAACGTTTGTTCTTCGTAGTACTTTTATTAACTATGGGTAATTGATCTTTTTTTTAAAAACAAACAAGAATAACAGATAATTCATTCAAAATATATCAATAATCCTTCTTTTTTTTTTTAAATCTGATTCTAGTTATT